TTAATTTCTTATTTTCTGTCTATCTCTACAGGATTTGGTCTTTGCTATTTTAATATCTAGGAATCAATTGATAGCCTTAGTGAGAATGAAGAAATATGTTTTACATCCAGCAGGTATTCATTCTCCTTTCTAATATTTATTTGGAATATTTGTGTATATACATGACTTCATATTAAACACTTACTTTCCTAGAACACTTGCATCAATTTCCTCATATACGTGATGCAATCACCATGTATAGGCAATATATACAATACCAAAATGTGATAAACGGGTTGCAATTGCAATAAAATGCAATAATAATGCATGATACAAATTAATAACTGTCTAACAGTAGTTGTTCCACTTTGCTCAGGTTGTGTATCAAGTCCAGTCATGTTCATACAATCCACACACACTCTGTGTATTCATGAACGTTAAACTAGTATTTTTTTTGCAGATCTTCATCTGATTTTTAATCTTGTTAGTGCCTCTACCTCATTCCAAGCATCTGAGTCGTGGACTCCAATATGTCTACCAAAGTTTGACAGCAGTGGGTTTCTGCATGCACATGTCTCTTATCTTGATGACACAGATGCCTGTTTATTACTACTCACTGTAGATAGAGATTTGTTCTTTACTTTGTCTGACTGTAAACAGAAAATAGTCGAGGTAAGTTTCTCTCTTTGATCTATAGAGGGTGATATGACTCCCATCATGCTTTGCATTCTATTTCTTTTGATTGGGGAGTATTATACAGTACATGCATCCACATGTTAGGAATACTAAATCTGTCTCAATACCTCAGAATCTTTCAAAGAGATTCACTATTCATTCATTTCATCGCGGAATACCATAGATAATCTATTTAGGTATCAGGCGATTCGAAAATAGTCGTCACAAACAGGTGAAAAGTTTGTAGTTCAACAAGAAACAAAAAATTGTGTTGGTATTGTTCTTTGGCTTTAATTTTGTTGGTAATATCAAGTATAGAACAAGTTTCAAATAGAAACAAACATGGACACAATAATCATTGTAGACATGTTTTACATGCAAAAAACTTTCTTGCTTTCAAGGACTACGAATAAATTATTACTTAGTTGTGATTATAATAGTGTCAGATGAAATCAATTACACAATGTAGTTGGTTTGTTATGAAATGTAACTTACTGTAAAACATGTCTTTTTAGCTAGCATGTTATTTTAGCTAATTTAGTTAATCCACATTTTCAACCAATATGTTGCTAATTAGAATAGAGTATATTCTCAGAATGAGATTATTAGCACTTTAGATAAATTAAGATTCAGTTAATTTATGCATGGAGTCAAATTTGCTAAAATGGCATGTAGCTATTTCAACGTGTTTCACAGTATTTTCATTGAAAGCAAATGTTTGCAGCTGTACACAAACACTATCCACCATTTCTTTTTAATTAATGAGTTGACTTGAAATCAAAATAAAGAAATTAGTTGTTTTAAAAATATAAACTGAGCACTTGAAGAATAATTTAACATTGTTTTAACAGGTCATTGTCGAAACAAAGCTTTCCCATTCACGCTAGTCACAATAAACGTCATGCTCTTGAATAGTCGTCAATGACTACAGTAAAACTTAAATTAGACTCTATTTTAGGGGTCAAGAATGATTGAAATGTCAGGAAAATGGCTCAAAAATATTTAAAAAAGCACCTTAAAAACTGTCGAAAAAATGCCCTGGGTAACTATCATTTAACGGCCCAGGGCAAATTTACGGCAGAATCCGGTATTCTTGATTAGGCGTCAATGACTACAAAAAACCTAAATTATACCCCAGAAAAATTTGTGTATATAGTATAAAAAAGTTCAAAGCGTGTATCAAAACAATCTCATGGCCGCGTTCACACTGTTTGTTCAATTCCTAAATCTCAGTGGAATTGTCACTATTTTGATATACAATACGCTAATCACTCTTTTACACAGAGATTACGAAAACATGGCTGCCTGCAAGTTATACAAGAATCATTGGCTAGAAAAGGTTACAAAGTAGCACAAGTTGGAATCAGTGATCTACGACACTTTCTGTATAAATCAAGAAGCACAGCTCAATTTACAAGTCCTGACTGGGAACCTCCTTACACTGACGAAACTGAGCGTGAACGGTGAGTACGGTTAAGTTTTAGATTCCTAACTGGGTTTGGTTAAGACACCCAGACTATGGTGGTGTATTCAATGCTGGTATACATTACGAAATATATGTGCAAGTGTTCCGAGCTATTACCTAATGTAGTAATTTTGTATCTTGTATCCAAAGATTATTTGGTCTGTATCAGTACCTTCATCAGAGAATACACAATAATGCTAGGCCGCTGAAAATATTATTTCATGCTGGAGAGAAAGAAACGTTACTTGGATGGGTAAGTTACCTTTAGAGTATACTTCCTGTATTGTGAAATACTTACTATTTTTTGCTTGGAATCCATTTTCACTGAAGGAATGATTAAGTGAAAATAAAAAGACTAATTTTGACCGTGGATACATCTTTTACATAAGCATGTGTTACTAATAGAGCTAATACAGTACATGTATACCATTGTCGTCTACACAGCTCTATACCACATGTGTACATTTGGTATGGTATGAATTTATCATCACTTGCAGGATTCTATTTTCATCACACACAGATAGCAACAATAGGAAAGTGTTCAAATGTGACCTAAACATGACACACAATTTCTAAATAAGGAAGATATTTTAATATGTCTATAAAAATTTTTGAACACATCCATTCAGCATTTGATGATAGTGTTATCCTAATATTTGACATTCCATTGAGATGCTGATCTTGCATTATTAAAAAAAAACATTGCGTAAAAAACTGTGAATCTTGTATTCATGGGATAATTGTAACATTGTTTATATCCCATTTTGTTGACACTATTGCAGGTGACGTCAGGGTTTGAATTGTATACAACATTTGGTCCGCTAGTCACAAAGCCTGTAGCAATCACAGCAATCAATAAATTACTCAAGTGGATCAAGGTAAGATCGCCCTCACTTCCAGCCATGTTATCCGTAGTGGATCAAGTTAAGATTGCCCTCGCTTCCAGCCATGTTATCCATAGTGGATCAAGGTAAGATTGCCCTCGCTTCCAGCCATGTTATCCGTAGTGGATCAAGGTAAGATTGCCCTCACTTCCAGCCATGTTATCCGTAGTGGATCAAGTTAAGATTGCCCTCACTTCCAGCCATGTTATCCGTAGTGGATCAAGTTAAGATTGCCCTCGCTTCCAGCCATGTTATCCGTAGTGGATCAAGGTAAGATTGCCCTCACCTCCAGCCATGCTACCCGTAGTGGATCAACGTAGGATTGCCCTCACTTCCAGCCATGTTATTCGCAGTGGATCAAGGTAAGATTGCCCACACCTCCAGCCATGCTACCCGTAGTGGATCAAGGTAAGATTGCCCACACCTCCAGCCGTGCTACCTGTAGTGGATCAATGTAGGATTGCCCTCACTTCCAGCCATGTTATCCGTAGTGGATCAAGGTAAGATTGCCCTCTCCTCCAGCTATGCTACCCGTAGTGGATCAAGGTAAGATTGCCCACACCTCCAGCCATGCTACTCGTAGTGGATCAACGTAGGATTGCCCTCACTTCCAGCCATGTTATCCGTAGTGGATCAAGGTAAGATTGCCCACACCTCCAGCCATGCTACCCGTAGTGGATCAACGTAGGATTGCCCTCACTTCCAGCCATGTTATCCGTAGTGGATCAAGGTAAGATTGCCCTCACTTCCAGCCATGCAACCATACTCTAAGTGAATCAACTAAGATTGCTCACACATTCTGTCCTGGCTCCTCTGGCAGAATAAAGTACTCCAATACTTCGCTGTACTGCCTGAGTGCATACTTTGAGGTATCCTCGTAATAACTGTCATCACCATAAGTTTCATCGTGATCCAGTTTTGTGGCATTGCACAGGGTATCTGTATCCTACCATATTAGGATTTTCATGATGATATCATCTTTACAAACAAAGTTTCAATAGTGATAATTTTTCCAATAGTTTTCATAAGTTTGCTCAGTTCTGGGTTTCTTCCACAAATAAATGGTTGGATTGAGAAGATGTATAATAATAAGGTTATTTCAAGGATACCGCAAAGTATATACTCAGATAGTACACAGTCAAACTCTCACAATAGCCTCATATGATTTGATGATCAGTATATGTTATTAACCATTTTTATAGTCATTTTTGCCTCAGTGCAGAAGATCATTTGGCAGACATAAGGAGGATGTCAATAATATTATTATTACATGGTCCTAGGTTGATGACATACAAGACAGGGACTTCCAAAAAACATTTCACTAACATTGACATTTGCGATGACCAACACTTTGAACATCTGTTTGTTGCATAGCAACGGTCCATGGCAACATCTAATTCCCTGGACACAACATTTTCTGGATGTTCATACATTCATTACATTTTGTGATTTCATGCTGTTTTGTGGTTTTAATTCTTACAATTTGTTGTTATAATCATGTTTATATTTTCTATATTTTTCTGTTTCAGAAAGAAGAAGACAGATTTTTTATTCTGAATTCCCCCGTGTTCTAGAAGAAAGGGCTGGGTTTGCACAAGACATTTTGTTATAACTTTACAATGTAATATTTTATTGTATTGTTTATGGTGACATTGACATGCTCTGCCTCTGCCTTGATTTCTCCGTCATGTAGCCACGGCAAACAAACAGCAGTTTTCCAAGCCTTTGATGTCTCTAGGCACCCAGTCTTAAATGTTAGTTGTTATAATGTTCAAATCACGCTTTCTTATCAAGAATTCTTTCACTTTTTAACTCCATGTTTTATCTTCCCTCTATATAGAACTACAGCTGACCAAATGACTGTTCAGGGAGTTCTTCTCTGATCACATTCATCAACCAATCGAATCAAGTTTTCATTGAAAGTAACACTTATGTTTGGTTGCCGATTTGCATATTTATTTTGACAGATGTAGTTAGAGATGATACATGTCACCTGAAATTAAAAACAACCCTTCATTGAATTCTAATCAGATATTGATGTGGCACAATATTTGAGAAGATTGGATAAGAGTAACTTTGAGACATTCATACATTTGATTTGACCAAGATATTTACCAATGTATAAATCACAGCTACACTCAAATTTATATATTAGTTTGGGTTTCATTTCAATCACCTGAACACAATGGTCATACCAGTAATAACAATTCTGTTTATAGAAATTCTGTATATAGACAGGGTTATAGCCTGATAATTTGGCAACATAACCTGCATATCTGATCATCCCGTCCCATGCCCGGCCATTTAACCTGCATGCTTGGCCATTTAACTTGTATGCCTGACCACTTTGCCATGTGACCTGTATATCTAACGTTTCCTAGCCTGGCGATGTCACCTGCATACTTATCCACTTGGCCATGTAACCTTCATGCCTAAACATTTGGTCATGTAACCAACATGCCTGACAACTTGGCCATGTAACCTGTATATTGAACTATTCCTAGCCTGTTCATGTGACCTGCATGTCTGACCACTTGGCCTTGTAACCTGCATATATTACCGTTTTTAGCCTGGCCATGTAACCTGCATATCTGACCATTTCTAGCCTGGCCATGTAATCTGCATATCTGACCATTTCTAGCCTGGCCATGTAACCTGCATATCTGACCACCCCATCTGTTGTCAGACTAATCAGTGCATTGAGACCAAATTCCACATCTGGATCACTGTAAATATATTTTAGGGATGGAGGGTAGTAAACTGGTTTGTAAATTTAGTTATGTACTAATTATGATTGTAAATAATAAATTATACATTTTGGTTTAATTGGACTCCTTGTTCTGATGATCTTGTTGGCATGGTAATGGTAGATCGAAGAACCATGTTTCTTTGTTTTGCTCGCATACACTAGACATCACGGGGAACATGTTGTAATGTGAGTAAATTGTGACACATGTAACCATCTGTACATGCTGTAATGTGAGTAAATTGTGATATATGTAACCTCTGTACATGATGTAATGTGAGTAAATTGTGATACATGTAACCATCTGTACATGCTATGTGAGTAAATTGTGATATATGTAACCTCTGTACATGCTATAATGTGAGTAAATTGTGATACATGTAACCTCTTTACATACTGTGATGCGAGTAAATTGTGATACATGTAACCTTTTTACATGCTAAATGTGAGTAAATTGTGATACATGTAACCTTTTTACATACTGTGATGCGAGTAAATTATGATACATGTACATGTAACCATCTGTACATGCTATGTGAGTAAATTAAGATATATATAACCTCTTTACATGCTGTGATGCGAGTAAATTGTGATACATGTAACCATCTGTACATGCTGTAATGTGAGTAAATTGTGATACATTTGACATTGTGTACATGCTATGTGAGTAAATTGTGATACATGTAACCTCTTTACATGCTGTGATGCGAGTAAATTGTGATACATGTAACTTCTGTACATGCTATGTGAGTACATTGTGATACATGTAACCCCTCTGTACATGCTGTAATGTGAGTAAATTGTGATACATGTAACCTCTTTACATGCTGTGATGCGAGTAATTTGTGATATATTTGACAATGTGTACATGCTATGTGAGTAAATTGTGATACATGTAACCTCTGTACATGCTGTAATGTGAGTAAATTGTGATACATGTAACCTCTTTACATGCTGTGATGCGAGAAAATTGTAATACATGTAACAATATGTACATGCTTTAATGTTGAGTAATTTGCGATACTTGTAACCATCCGTACATTATATTAGTCCCCGTTTGGACAAAGTCCGAAAATGGGGACTTATAATTCGGTCTCCGTTCGTCCGTGCGTCTGTCCGGAGTCGTATCTCAGAATCCCTCAGGCCAATTCTGTTCATTCTTTGCATGTGCCTTGTAGTTTATCTGGGATATATACACATGCAGTGGTTTAGCGATTCGATTCAAAATGGTCGACTGGCAGCCATCTTGTTTTTTGAAAATGTTGTATTTCGGATATGCTTTGTCAGTTTTCATTCAAACTTGGTACATAGATTATACATGTTAGGATACATGTCCATGGCGATTTGTTTCACAATTGGATCAAAGATGGCCGACTGGCAGACATCTTGTTTTTTGAAAATGTTGTATTTTGGACCTGCTTTGTCAGTTTTTATTCAAATTTAGTACATAGTTCATACATGTTAGGATACATGTCCCTGACCGTTCGTGAGTTCTGAGTCTGTCTGTCCGTCTGTCTGTCAGTCCGTCCGTGCGTCAGTCTGTCCAGAGTCATATTTCAGAATCCTGTGGACTGATTCCGTTCATTCTTTGCATATGCTTAGTACCTTATGTGGGACATATGCACATGCAGTGGTTTAGAGATTTAATTAAAATTGGCCGACTGGCAGCCATCTTGTTTTTTGTAAAATGTTCTATTTTGGACATGCTTTGTCAGTTGTCGTTCAAACTTGGTACATAGATTATTCATGTTAGAATACATGTCCATGATAATTTATTTCGCAATTGGATCAAAGATTTTATGCGGTATCTTGTCAGTTTTCATTCAAATTTGGCACATACATGTACTTTATACATGTTAGGATGCATGTCCATGACAATTTGTTTCAAAATCTAGTCAAGAATGGCCGATTGACAGCCATCTGACTTTTTGGCCTTACTACTATATTTCCACAATTTATGTACCATTTTCATTCGAATTTGGCACATACATCATATACATATCAGTGTGTTTCATAATCACATCAAAGATGGCCGAATAATGGCTGTTTTTATTTTTGGCCATATTACTACTACACGGAACATGTGTTTTGATTGATGTAAATAAACAATCTGTTCTATATGCCATTTGGAACTCAAGTTTCAAGGATGTGCACGCGACAACCCCTCCACTTTAATATGACAAGCACAAAGAACTTTCAAACATTTAACGGGGAATGTGTCATTTTCAATGACTTGTTTAATGCGAGTAAACTGTTACATATAACCACATGATGTAATGTGAGTAACTTGTGATACATGTAACCATCTGTACATGCTGTAATGTGAGTAAATTGTGATACTCGTAACCATCTGTACATGATGTAATGCAAGTAAATTGTAATACATGGTACTATCTGTACATGATGTAATGAGAGTAAATTCTTATACATGTAACCATCTGTTAATGATATGTGAGTAAACTTGCAAATAACTATGTGTACATGCTATGAGTAAATTGCGATACATGTAACAATATGTAAAAAATGTAATGTTGAGTAATTTGTGATACATGTAACCATGCATGCATTACATGATGCAAGTAAACTGTTACATGTAACCACATGATGTAATGTGAGTAATTTGTGATACATGTAACATTGTGTACATGATGTAATGTTAGTAAATTGTGATACTTATAACCATCTGTAGATGATACAATGTTAGTAAACTGTAATACATGTGACAATATGTACATGATGTAATGTGCGTAAATTGTAATACATGTAACAATATATACATGCTGTAATGTTGAGTAATTTGCGATACTTGTAACCATCCGTACATTATTTAATGCGAGTTAACTGTTAGATGTAACCACATGATGTAATGTGAGTAACTTGTGATATACGTAACCATCTGTTCATGCTGTGATGTGAATAAATTGTGATACTCGTAACCATCTGTACATGATGTGATGCGAGTAAACTTGCATGTAACCATGTGTACATGCTGTAGGTGCAGCCACTGAATGGAGCTGTTCATCGGAAAAGCTGTTCCAAGGGATTTTTGTTGAGGGCATACACTCTGATACATGTAACTATGTGTAATATTATATTACGTATACAATATATGTAGAATTGTCAGATAAAAATAACAGGGGGTGGTAAAGGCGGATTAACGAGAAGAAATGAAAAATCTGCTCATGTATACTGAAGGTCTCATGCCACTAATTAACCAATGGCTGCTCGCTCAATTTAAATGCCTAGCAAGAACCAATGAAATTTTTTAAATATTATTTTTCTCAGGTGCTCCCTGTTTGAGGGCGTAATCACCTGGGTCAGAGGTGAGACCAACATGTGGTCTTTTGTTTACTACTTAGCGGCTGTGTACCTGTGGGTTTATTCTGTGTGTTAATGGATGTTCTAATCTTGGTGTTTTTCCAGTGATTTCCCTTGGTGCAATCCAAATACAGTAGGTGTGTCTTGTTTACCTGAGATTTGCAAGAGTTTGAGCTGGCCAACATGTTAGTTTTTTTCATATGGTTGATTACTGGCATGTTGATTTCCCATTTTTGAGCCATATTTTCAACTTTCTTCATCATTTTCATATAGCAATCTCGTTATATGTTAACATTGTCGTCTATGGAAATTCAATTAGTGGTATGAGCCCTGAACAATGATCGGAATAATCATGGCCTGTAGATCACGTGAGCACGTTTGTTAGTTTGTGATTGGATCACAGTCCCATAGTCAGATCAACAGTCTTGCTTTACAAGCCGTCACTAGAATATAACTTCAGTAATTACTATTTACTATAATAGAATAATCCACCTGACTGAATCAAACGTTGAAAATAAACAAAATGCATTTTTCTGTTCGAGAATATTTCGTACACACAACCCATCATATTGGTATTCATGTGAACTATGGGGTTATAAAAAAAGGGGGTCACATCGGGCATGACTAGAGACGTTGTTTACAAACATCACGTGAGTTACCGGTATAAACTAGATAGTTGTAGCACCGGCTTGTTGTGGCAATATTTTTAGTTGTTTCGTCCGCATCGATATCTGCAGTACCATACTCTGTCAAAAGAAGCCAACTAATTCCGAATTAATCTTTAAAATGACACAATTGCTGCGTATAGTACTGATGGTAATCGGAGTATCGTGTGCGACGTGTTACATGACCAACTACATGAAAACTGTACCGGTACCATCGCTCAACGGTCTGGAGAAAACAGAAATGGACAACTTAGCAAACTACAAACAAAACGATTTCCAGCATATCAAGAAGAATGGTTATATCAGTGAAGGAGATCTGGAAAATGGAAATATGAGATTGCAACGGGCAGTGGTAAGTATTAATTAGTTTCTCATGAGACGATCGAGGGTTTTGGTTAGATTATTTGTATCCGCATGATGGGTTTCGTACCCTAAACAGAAGGGTGATTTGTTTTGAATACAAGTTGCCAAGACTGGAATACTGCAAATGAAATACCTCTCACTAGCCACTCTAAATCACCACATTGGTTCGTGCTTTGAATCATTCCATACACCGTGACAAGATATGCTATTTCTATAAATAGTAACCAGAAGTTATACCATCCCAGATTGTCAACACAGATTTGTACCAATCTTATATCACCATTCGTTGAAGTCTTTTATCTCAAGGACGCCTGACATTCTGTCCCAATACCATTTCAGGACGGCCTATTTAAACTATTTCCTCAACCACACTATTCGGAACAGACATACATACTGATCACGATTGTGTAGATGTGCTAACTCCTATATCTTAAAGCGGGGGAGGTCGTCACCTACGCAGGTGAAGACTCTCCCTCTTTAATCATTGTTTTAAACCGTTCAAAGTGGGTCTAGTATGTGATATATGTAATATACATTGCTGTTAAGGAAATTCGATTTGTTTTTATATAATTTCTGCTTCTCGTTAAAAGAGAAGGCATAACTGTGATCGTTGTGCGTCACAGCACAATGGGTATATCCCCTCAATGATTGCGAAATAATTCATAGCTCAGTGATAGCTTTGTTTACATTTCAGCAAACGGAAATGCGTAAGAGCCAGACACGGGGTAGTACCGGTGACATGGGAGGTACGTATATTTGCGTGGGTAGTAAGTAGTACCTCAGGTGAAGTGAAGTGAAGGACTCACGGTATACATGAAGCATGCAGGGTCGAGCAGACATTGTGAATTATAGACGGTGATGTGATACCACCCCGCACCACACGCCACTCGCACATGACTAAATTACCAGCTGACTCATGTTTATTTATTTTTTTATTTTTTCTTTAATTTTTATTTTTTTATTTTTTTTTAATCCAATTTAACTTTCAACATTTAACTTTATTGTATTACGAACAATATCTCAATTAAGGATACGTTTATCAATAAAGATTATTATTATTATTATTACACAGAGATAGACATGCCCCGATGCCATATCATACACAGGGGGCATCCTCTAAGCTATACAACACCTTACAACATGTTCGAGTGAGACTATTTTGGGAGTCCAATGCCTGACATACTAATTATGTCTGCATTCCGTTGTAGGTCATCTTCAGCGTCTTCTTGATAAATTGCAATCAAGTGACTCGCCATGTATACTCGGTGTCTGGGAAAACAGCGAAGGTGTCCATTTAACTCTATGTCCGAAGATTTGATGCTAAATGAACTCCTTGGATATTTAAGTTATTTATTTTATTTTATTTATTTGTTAAAATTAAATTACCAAATTTGATTTAAACATGTAGTTTGAACTCAAGAAACTTGTCACATATTGTTAAACTTCTGGATTGAGAAACATACCGTCTTCTGAATAATCAGTTCCGGACTGGTGAATGAGTTGAAAGACAGTGGACCATTCAATTTGAAGAAGTGTGCTATACATTCTGTTAACATTACCAACATTGCACCGTTATTCAGTAATCAAAACAATATAATACAATGCAGATATATGTTAAACTTTTTTACCCTTTTGTATTAGACCAAAAATTGTTTTGTTGCCCTCAGCGACCGACCGAAAATATGAAATATCGGGTCGCGTTTTTCCCCTTAGTATTCACGAGTTCAAAAAAAAAATCCGACCGATCGACCCAATTTTTCAATTTTCCGACTTGAGGGCAACATAAGTTTTTTTTTTTTGGCCTTATTTTTACTCATTTAATTTTATATTATATTTATTTATATTAAAGATGCAATCTGAACATGTAATTTTTAGTATTGTTGTTTGACACTGTATATTGATAAAAACATTGGACTATAAGTTATCATTCACTGAAAACGCAGTTCTTGTAGCACACAATTGAGTATTGGTTCGATACTAGTAGTTTTGTTTTGTCATCTAAAGAATCCTGTGTGTGTTCTGCAAACGCATAATGTTTAGTTTATAATAAACCATGGTTAGATTTGGTCTACAGTATATAGAATCTAACAACAATATTAAAAATGTATATTGTCGTTCATATTTCTTTAATAGGACACAGCATGGTTTTATTACTGATAGATTCACGATTATTGATTAAATAATACATCAGTGGTCGTCTTGATCAGGGTTACTAAGTTTAATCTGTTTCGTGGTAATTTTACGTTTTGTTCAGTCTTGGGTGAATGAATGAATGAATGAATGAATGAATGAACTGCTGCATACATGCAGAGAAGCACCACAGGGTCATCATAGAAATCATTGTGATTGGTGTAAAGTAACATCCGGGTTCTCACAGTGGTCACTTGGCAGATATTTATTGTTCATATTATTGTAAATGATTTGTCTCATATAACAATGTATCTAGGCTTGATACTGGTATATTATATATTCATATGAATTCTCATTGACGTGAATGAGTACAACAAACATTCTATGGTATATTATATATTCATATGAATTCTCATTGACGTGAATGAGTACAACAAACTTTCTATTTTGGTGTCAGTAAACACAGTTATTTTTTGCACAATGTTATCACCATTAACATCATAAAACTGAAAGTGTCATTGCCTTGTGCTGTTTTAAAGTGGAATACTACTTGTGAGTTTTTCTCTTGTGTCAGGATGGTTTCGTGTCAAAATTTGTCTACAATTATTCGTTTTAGTATTAGCAAAGTGTATGTGAACTTTTTTGGTTCACTGCAATTTTAGCACCGGTTTGCATAAACCACAATGAAAACACATTTCCTCGGTACAAAACTCACTCAAATATTATCAATGCATTAATAATTCTAAACATCACAAGTATCCTGTAAGACATTATACTGTAAAACATGTTGGAAAGGCGATATGCAGTTTTAGCGAATTGTAGTAAAATGACGTAATAGCGAAATGTTGATTTAGTTAATCTCTCTTGTCATTGTTGATTTCCTGTTTTCACAATACTTGTCTGTCGTGTGCCAAAACAAATGCGCAGTTATAACCTCCATAAAAACAAAGAAAAACTGTCAAGTGTAATTATGAAGCGCCCCAGATTTTTATGTTCCGGATTACTGTATACAAATCCCCAAGCCTTGGCCATTTTAAATTTATAATAAAGTCATTAGTGACATCTTGAATTAGCGTATCAGTTCTCTAGCTAAATTCGCGAAAATGACATGTTTTAAAGTATTTTTACAAGGGTAAAACAGACAAAACGTGCTATTTTCACTGTATTTTATTGGTCGATTTTCTATGAACTAAGTACAGTAACGCCGTATTTTATTTTTATTTTCTTCATTCTCGTAACATGATATATCAAATATGTAAAAATAAAGAAAATTACAATATGCTATGTATAGCATTCTACCTTATAGGGTTAGGGATATTCAAGAACTTCTGATTATGTTTATTTAGTAAGCTGTTCCTTTCAAGCAGACATTTTCACAGATTTGGCACCTAAAAGTTTTAACATATTTACTATATTTTTATTATTCATTATTGTTGTTTAAAAAAATAATTGTGTAACTATTGGATACTATTTAATAACCAAAATTCATAATGAAAATAAAATATATTATCTCTATTTATTGTTGTTGAAATAATGCGAAACATATAGCTATGTGGTTTGAAATCCTCCCTAGGACCGTGACAAGTTTGGTTGTACTATATACGTGATTGATTCCAGAAACACAGAGTTCATCACAGTTTGTCAGCCGCTCACTGACACCGAAACAAGGTTGCATGTCACCGTAAGTCACCTCATTGAATTTATTAAATACGTCAAACTCAGAACAATAATAAACAATAATACGTCAGACCAGTCGTGACCGGGGTGCAGTGGTTTTATAGAATGGAGACAATATTATGGCAATTGTCGCGCCGCGTCCTGTTCGTAATGGGACTCATAGCAACCATGGATGTACTAAGAAGTACATCCATGTAGCAATGTATACATAGCGTGTAAAATACATTGTTTATTTACACGACGACCACCGCGCTTTAAAATTTATTTGACGAAAACTATACTGATTATTGTTATTTTCTGGGTTTGTGCTCAGACTAGTAACTAGTCAGAGGTTTGTGGTTTTGTAACCATAGTAACCAATGTAATAGTGGAGCCAGTTGCAATGGTGTTACTAAAAGTA